CCGCGCGTGTGTATATGCGTGCGTGCACATATTTTCACATTTGTATGGAAGTGTGCACGCGCGCTCCTGTGTGTATGCCAGGGCACATCCCTCATTTCGGCACGGCTCATCATATTCTTCGTGCGTGTATGCCCAGGTGCACATTCTTTTATATTGCAGTGCGCGGTGCTTTTCTGCGTTGTGTGTATGCCCTGGTGCATTTCCTTCGTTATTGTGCGGTGCGATCCGCCCCGCGGCAAGACTAAAGGCATTACGCCATGATGCACTCGTTGCAGCTCTCTGATCAAACGGGACGTCCAGCGTAGTGAAGTCTTATTTAGCAATGATCGCGCAGGGGAGAGAAAAATACAAATTTTCTTCATTTCACCACGATTTAAAGTGTGCATTTTATTTATATGCATTTGATTTGAAGAGAAAAAAGTGCTAGCATTTGAAGAGAAAAAAGTGCTAGATATTTTCCGTAGCTTTACAACCACTTTTAAGTGCAATGAGAAAACCACTGTGGACTACATCTGTGATGTGAATTTTAATGCGAAAGTGTTTGCACTTTTTTCTTTACCCGTTCGCTTTTTTTCTGAGGATTTTTTTTGTTGCACCATTTGCATCGGGCTGTGCTCTCGCAGTCGAGGCACGAGCCTGCGGGAGTACGATTCATCGACTCGTCGCTGCTTGCACGATCTAGCCGAAGAAAGGACGCTAGTGGCGGATAAGTTTGGTTGCATGAGTCTCGCTGGCCCTGGATGACCTTTTAACATTGACCTCCTGCCGGACGCAGAGAACAAAGTCACTTTGGGGAATGGCCCTTGGAAAATTATAACATGGATCTGCTATCGGTGTCTCCCTAATACCACCGCTTACCAGACATTTCTCCTTTTAACCATGTAGAGAGAAGCTCGATACAAGAATTCCATTCAATATTGTCACGTGTAGAAATGTAGCCGTTACGGCTTTCAGATTATTATCCATAGGTCATCGCGACCGATAACACTGATCCCGACTCTTTTTTTCAGCCATATCTTCGTAACTTGGCACATCTTGATCTTCTTACACCTGCTCCTCCGATGACTGCTGACCTCTGGATACCAACTCCGATGCCAGTCTTGGCAAGCCGCGCTCCGGCATGCGTTGCCTTCCCGATTGCGGCTCCTCTTACGAGATTATATTGGCACCTTCTTCTCGCATTCTGAAATGACCTCCCCAACTTTAATACCCTCTCGTATATTTCTCATAATTTGTCACTTGCACCAGTACCCTGCTTTTTTGTTTTTTTAAGCCCGGAACTCTGAGTGTACAGTGATCCGTAAATTCCCGCTACAAACATCCATGTCTGAACGTTTCTTGCGGTGCTTTGTACGTGCAGAAGGGCGGTTTTATTATCAGTCAGTGTGTTGATTTAGGTAAATTGCAGTTTTACAGCGTTAGGATTGCTTTACTGAACAATTGCTCGATTTGAGAAATGAATGCAGAGGCAGTCAGGTGCCTCGGTGGGCGGGCAGGCGGGGGGGGGGGGAATACCGTGCCAGGGTATTGTCTGGGTTCCACGGAGAACCCGAGCATCCATCGTTGTGTAAGCAAAGCTCGCCACGAGTGATTTCATCCGCTCTGGCGAAACCAGGTTAACAAGCGGAGCGAATTGACAGCCTTAGCCTGGTCACCAATCACTCAAGATTATTTGAGATTTAACGTAGCTAACCGTGCAGACAACTGTATTTTTCCAGGGCATACGCGTGTCTGGTTAAGTGACGTACAGAAGTTACCTGAGAATAAGAATTAGTTCCGTTGGAGTCATATTCCGTGTTACCGTTCTGGAGCAGCGCGCATGATATTTTGCGAGCAGAAATTACGCCATCCCACGATACCAAATAGCCCAACGGGAATATATAGTTTGTTGAAAGAAAAATCAATTTGAATCCAGTTTAACCTCCAGTGTGTGAGCCTGAGATTTTGGCCCAGGATCTGAACATCACCAGAGTCATTGCACTGGCCCCACGAGCACAGCACCCGCACCCTCATCGACCCAGGCCGCCTTCTACTTATTCTTGTTCTCCCCCCCTCCCCACTGCTCTCTTTCTGCCGGGCAAAATAAAATCAGGATATAAAGTGCATCATTCATTCTTAAACGGATCTTATTAAAAAAATGGGCCGAGACTGAATATCGCAAATGCCGTCAGGAAGGAGAGAAAAAAACATACTTGAAATGAATCCCTGGGTGAGCCACGCGTGCCGGTTTGAGCCCCAGGGCGTACTGCAGCAGAGGGCGCTGGGACGGGGTGGGTGGGCTACGGGTGCCGCTCTGTGTTTCTGCAACGTATCTTTAAGTAAGGGTCCTTACGCAGCCAAAAAGAACTTGCCTCTGCTGCAGAAGCAGTCGTGCAGAATGCTGGTGGGAAATTGCACCATATCGGCCGCTTTTATTGATTCTCCGCTTTGCATTAAGCTCCAAGCGCATGCACTAAATTGCTCAATCCTCGCAGCGCTTAATGGTACAACAGACATTAAAAACCCTACATGACAGTAATAATGCAGGTTATTGTTTACCCAACAATAATAAGGCATGTGCGGATCAGTGGCTTCTCGATAGGCTTAGGGGGTCGGAGCTTACATTCCCGTCGGGTTGATGGTTCGATCCCCACACTTGCCCGTATAATTATGTGCCTGTGATTAACGTAGTGGAGTGAACGTTGTATGGCTGTGTCACAGTTACTGTCCAAAGCTGGAGATTCAAATCAAAATCAAAGTGGCAATGCTCATTTCCGTTACTGACCTTGAGGCTGTAGCGGAAATTGCATATTGTTTTGGCGGGGGCGGAATTATTTATATTGTACTCTTTTGATTTCTGGCAAAGTGGGGCTCATTTTAATGACCCTGAAGGGACGATGGCCTGAGTTGACCACTTCCTGGGATATGAGTGCACAGCCTCCCACGATGAGTTGGGACGCGTCCGTTCTGCCACAGCGCCAAGTGGCTGAGCGAAATGAAGCTTCGCGGGGAGTTAAATTGCACACTGTTAACATTCATTGCTGCCACTTACCTCGTTTTCAAAATACAAATTACCAATTTTTTTAATACAATTTCTAAGAGGCTCGTTGGACAGACGAGCAACGTGGCCGTTCTGCTGTCCGTCAACGGCTCTTCAGCATTATAAAAAGTCCACGTTCCTATGGTGGGAGCCAAGTCCTACCCACGGGCAAGAGCACGTTTGACTTTCCACAAAAAGTAATCGTCGATGCGTCAGCCCCAGAGGAGGAGCATGTGGGCCGCAGTTCCATACCCCAAGCGTGTTGAATAAAGAACGCACATTGGATGCGGATTATTGAAGAGGGGAGCGAAACACGAGCGTGCACACCGTACGACCGCCGGCACAACAAACAACTCCCCCCCCCCCCCCCCGCGCTGAAGGTACGCGCAGATTGATTCATCGATTGACGGGTGGCGCTCACCCATGGGCGTGTAACACGGCCGTCGCATCGATTGGCCACGCCGGCGCTCTGCTCTAAAACACTTACTCATGCACTTTGGCTGCCGGTCGGCGTCCAGCGATGCTTTGCTTTTTAAGCCCCCCCCCCCTTCTGAGCGGTCTAATTGGGCGCGCGTCCATTCTGAACCAGCGAGTTGAATGATTCCCGTTGAGCACGAGCAGTGCACGGTGACCGGTGGCAATGCTCGGGCACCGCAAACACGGGTGGGGGGGCTGGTGGAGGGGGGGGGTCCGACATCCGCACCCTGGGCGTAAACCTACAACTGCTGTGGTATCTGGCAGAAGGAAGGAAGTGATGGCGAGGTGGGGTGTCATCAATTGCTTTGGATGTGAAGGTCTCTTGAACCTGAACTTGAGTGCTTCCTCATCTATTCCCGATTCACCGCTTCTGAATGTGGGGATGGGATGGGGGGGGTGTAAAGGGGGGACTGGTGATGAATACACGCTATGGCAGTTGTCCTTTTCGGAGACCGGCCGCTATCATGGGGATGAGAAATTTCCACCACTGGCTCAGCTCTGCCGACAAAGACGAGTACTGGATCACTGCTCCTTTAACCAGGGAGACACTTTAACCTTCTTTTTGTTACGTTGTGAGTTTATCAAGTGGGTTGAGCGATGTGTCCGACGTCATGGCACGTGAGTGACCAGGATTTCTGGCTCACATCATTGGTGTAATGAAGGCACACGCTGCTCGGCGCAATGCAAATTGTAGTTTCAGCGGACGGCTCGTAGTGTGCCATCGTTCACACACACTATATGCTCTCGTCCTTTGAATATCCTACAGAACGGAAACTCGTCATGTCGCTTGGTCAAGAGTGTAAGCGTCCCTGTGCAAACACCACCCCACCCCCCCCTGACAAATGCAAAAGTAATCATCTAAAAATGTCAATGGTGTTGAGTTATCCGTATCGATCGTTTCCCAGCCGCTTCCGTGCCAGTGACACGAACGCACCTGCCGTGACCCCCTTGCGCCCGTGACCAAGACGTCGGTCACATTTCCCCGGAGGAATATTCCCCGCGGGACTTGCTCCCTGTAATTATCATCCCTATGTGGAAATGGCATTCGCCAGGGAATGGGTTGGAGGGTAGGGGGGTGGTGGTGTGCGCCCATCTCCATCGCGGGTGGCGCTGGCCACACCGACTGAATCTGACGCTGGGGCCACTGCATTTTGTGCCCTTTCCTTATCTGGCGAAATCGATGAAGCAAATGAAAATGTCACAACTCGCAGCGGCACTTCACGGGGTTTTCTTGTTGTTTTCTCGGTGTCAAGGTCGCGAGATCGAGGTCGAGGGTTGTGGCATCATAGAGCAGCGAATACGGATTGGTCGATTCTGCAGGGTAGCACTGGCGGGTTGGAGTGCCCTGTCCTCGCTCTGGGATATTTACCGGTTCAAATCCCAGCCAAGTTGCCGACTCAGCCCATCATCTGTCGGTGGTTAAACGTGAAGTTAAAACGTCATTCGTTTTTGCAAGAAAACACCGACTAAGGCTCAGGATTCTGTGTCAAGGTGTTTGGCTGATTCTTTTTTTATTGTGTTTGACGTCTCAAACGAAACCATAGTATCGCGAAAAAACCCGTGCTTACGTGAGCATGACGCTCTAAAAGTCCACACCGATGAGTTAACCTACTTGCTTTCCTGAAATCGATTAGTCACCTTGCAATCCAGCTTTGTATTTCAAGTGCACTTAAACTATGCTTACATTATAGTAATAGGTTTTTACCCTTTCAACTGGTACAAAAACTGACACCTTTATACAAGGCATCATGTTTGCAATAACCACAACACAAGCAGTCAAAATGCAAAAAAAAGAAACAACTCTGATGATGATAATGATATGCACTGTCCTTGAAGTTGATTGGTCCACACCCGAGACAGCTGTTCTTAGAGCCTAGTCTCCATTGGTGTTGGACCAGATGATGCCAAAAGGTGTACAACTATGCTTACATTCTAGACAGGCAACAGTGGCCATCTAATGGAGAGACGAGCCACTGTCATGGGAATGTGGAATTGCTACTGCAGGCTTAGGTTGCTGCCTGAAATGAGCAGTACTCAACACTTATTTGAATTTAGGACCACGCTTACATTTTTTTGTATTTTTGATATTTTTTTTCTGGATCTCCCTTGAAAGAGAAATGAGTATCTTAGTGGGGACTCTTACCTGGTTATATAAAGTTTATGTATTTACGTGCCTATAAATCAATCTATCTAATGCCAACGAGAGTGTGCACACAGCAATCACTGGCAAGCAGGTAATGCAATTCAGCTCTAAATTAGATATCCTTTGCCACCGTTTAGCAGTCACACGGGCACCATTCCACTCACTTAATGGCGTTTAAAGATTTTTGTGGATTTTTTTGCGCCGATTACAGCATATCCCAGCTGTACTGTCATCAAGACGGGGAGTGAAGTCGTTTCCATCACGGAAGGCACCGAGCTGTGATAGCGGAACGAACCAAGAAGCGTTGTCGTGCGCAGGATATTCTGATCTCTCTTGCGGTCGTCCTGCTGAGACAGCGAGAGCATGGGGCCCGTCCCCCTCGTGAAGTTGTGTGCACGTCCACTACCGCCACGTACGTTTCCCAACTCGCAATAGGAAGGTTGCGCGTTCACGTTCCGGTTGGGGGGGGTCGGCTCGTCCTGTCGTGAGCACGGCCGTGAAGTGAGCGCCACCGTGGAAAGTCAACAGTGGTTTTTTGTCCTTTAGATTGAATGACCCTGCCATAGCAATGTGAATTTTTTTCCAGTAGCTCAGGGCTACGAACGTATATGGGCGTTGTCGCGTACTCACGGTAGGAGTGGCCCCTTTTTGAAAGAACCCCTCAAGTGTAAGCCAAGTTTGGATTTTGTTTGCATGCGGTTTAGAGGTGACAAGCGTGGAACTGTCATTCTCCACGATGTTGATTTTTAATTGCACGAAAGCCGCTGTGCACCCCGGGCCACCAGGGTGGCTTGCGTACAGATCTGAAAGCTTAATTTCGTATGTGTGAAAAGCGTTGCAGATTTCATTGCAGAGTATAGGAGGCAAGCAACTGTGAAATTCCAAAAGCAAATGTGGAGGCAAAGTGCCGTAGATGTAATCAGGAGTTTGGGTTTACAAAAACTGGGGCACATGTGCAGGAGGGACCAGGGCACGGTACTCTAGACTGGCATTGGAGTGGCCACCAGAGGTGGGTTACCGTTAGCAGGTAGGTTCTCGACTCTGGCATAAGGAGCAGGCCTAAGCCAAATGTAGTAGTGATAATTATTATTACATGCAGTTGCTAAGCAGAGGCCCAAAACGTCAAGCTGCTGGCAACCGACAGCACTCTCAAAGTAGCAACAGAGTTTACCATGCTTCTTGACGTGAGCATGGCGGTAGGAGCTTATGAACAGAGACGAGGGGAAGGGAATTCCAAAGTGGGAGGGAAGAAGCAAAAAGGGGCAGTGTGGTGACCTGCAGGTGTGCTGCTGAAAACTCCGTGCGGACGAGACAATAAAATTGTATGCCGCAGGAGATCAGGTCCAGAATCTGGCAGAATCTGGCAGGAGAGAAGTGACGGCGTTCGGTTTTGTCGTCTGCGTTGACAGCCGCTGCCGTGCCCGCGAGGGCTCGTGCTTCCTGGTTGGGGGCCAGGGTTGTGTGCGCGACGACCGAGACGGGGGGAGGACTCCGCTTGCGGTGGCAAGGCCCGACCTGTCCTCCCGGGAAATAAAGATTTTAATAAGCGGGCGGTGCAGAATTAATTTAATTAAGCGGCTTAGGTTACTGTTCATTGGTTTGCAATGCAGTTCATTGCCCTTTATCATACGGGAAATTGAATAGCGCACAGCCTTTTATTCACGTATATTTGTTTATATATTAATATGTGCATGTCTTTATATATCTGTATGTACATGTATTTATACAGTCAATGCATACAAACACGATGTTGTTGAACACGTATAAATTTTTAGCAACAGATAATGCACCGTTTAACAGCGTTGCATACTTAATGTAACTTTTGCTTGAATATACTTAAAATATATAACTTAATTTGTTTTTTGTTATAGTGATTGAAAATTAACCGTGATTAGAGACTCGTGTGTTTAATAACATTCCAACTCTCTTAGCCAAAGGAGGTGCCGCTAGTACGTCACGGACATGTCAACTAACATTTCACGAAATATTGCACAAGTTTGCTTTGGGTGTAAATAACCCCTTAAGAAACTGGTGAACCCTTGCGACTCAATAAAAATGTTTTTTTTAGAGCTTCACTGCACAAACCCGTTCGAGCATTTTATGAATGCCGTCCTCTTAAAAAGTTAAAATCAATCCGTACACAGCTGCAGATAGAGAGTCGTTCTTAGTCCGCTGCCCTTGGAGGCGTTGGCACCGCACGGAGCTTCCGAAGAAACAGCCACAAGGCTTGATTTAAAGCTTTCGTGACTGCAGGGATTCATATTCTTGGTTCTTTCGGTAAAGTCACGTAGAAGGGAAATAATGAAATAAATAATGTTTTCATTATATATTAATAATAATAAAAACTATATTAATATTATTTTATTTTTTCCCTTCTACTTCACTTTACCGAAAGAACTAAGAATATATAGCCACAAGGCTGTTACGACGCTTGAGGGAGAGGCTTTGCCGTGGAGTCTAAACCGATCTCGCAAAGCCCTACGCCGCTCCCGTCGTCTCGTGCCTTTCGCCGCGGAGCGCTTGATTTCATAGCAGTTTTTATCCCCTTTGACAGGGAGGGTTTCCTTTGCCCTGGCTCGTCGTGAGTTCCCGCCGCTTTGCGATCGGCAGGAGATGAGGGGCGGCTGCGGGCGATGGCGTACTTGACGAGCGGGCGGTGTTTCGCGGAGGGCGGCTCTTAAGTAGGGTGCACGCGGCATTCCCCTCGCGCCCTGCTCTGTCGAACATCCGTTACCCGCTGCCCGTAGACGAGCACTGCTGCGATGTCGTCCTCCGCTGTGTCGACTCCGCCTAAAATCGCAACTTGGTTCGCTGTACGTTGCCCTTGGCCTTAATAGATGCTCCACTAAAGGCTCGTGTCCCAACAGTCTCGCCTGGGTCTTTTGTATGCGCGCGCGCGTTCTGTATCCCTGCAATGCTCTGCAAACAATTTCACAGTGTATGCACGGGGGGGGGGGGGGGGGTGTAGCACGGCATTGCGGCACGTTGCAACGTGGAGACAATATTCAGAGCTTGACGCGTTCAGAAAAACACGCTGCTTTCTGTTCTTTTGCCCCTTCACTTGCCGGTGCTCTTGATTTCTTGAAAGGCGGCCACTGTCCGTGTGTGTGCCATGTGCGACGACGCGGCGGCGCGCCTCCCGTGGCGCAGCGAGTCCCTCTATCCCCGCCGCTACCGCCACCACCGCTGCGGGGCCTCGAGACGACGAGAAGCACGAGAGCACCCGGGGTGCACGTCAGGTCGCTGCATGTAAACGGATAAAAGTGCTCGGGGCTCTCGGTGTCACCAATTGCCATTTGATTTTTTATTATTATAATATTTCTTCCACTGGCATTTGCCAATGCCCGAGTCACGTGGCTGGCTGGGGGCTCTCATAAGAACCAGAAGCAGCCTTTGCCGTTCTTGCGTGCGGCCCCCCTGGGCTGCGGCCCTCCGTGCCGGTCGCTCGGTGCGACGCTGGCCGCCGCCATCGTCGGCCGGAGGTCCTGGCCTTCTTGGCAGGGGTCGGGGGTCGCCGCCGGCGGCGGCAGCGCAGGCAGCAGCAGGGCGTGCGGCGACGGGAGCGCCGTCGCGGCGCGGCACCCCCGCGGCGGCGTGAGCGCCTGGTGCAGCATGCTCTCCTGCTGCCTGAAGTCGTGCTCCACGCTGGGTGCCGGGGGGTAGCGTAGCGTCGGGGCAGGGGAGACCGGGGAGATGGGGGACACGGGGCGATGGGGGGACCGTGGAGACGGGGGGGGGGGATAGACCGGGGAAGAAGTGGCAACAAAGATTAGAGGTGGCGTGGGATGAGTAAGATGTGGGCGCGTCAACGTTTGCCCGTTTCCCGCCCGAGCTGGCTGCGTGCCACGTGTTGTTTGACTCGACTCGTAATCAGGAGGTCGCTATTGAAGCTCCCGTCAGAATCGGCTCGTGTGGCATGCGGCATGATGCATCGGCGTTCTTTCATTGTGTGGACTCCAAGTCAAAAGTCTCGGTCAAAATGTATTCCAGCTCAAATGGGCCTGCTGCAGCACATATCTCCTTTTACAGTCCTGGACCAGGTGTGAAACAGTGACGTTCCTATGGCAAAGAAACAGTCTCATCCATGGGTTGACCGCTGTTGACTTCCCGCAGAGTGGTGTTAACTTTATCTCCTGTGATGGGTGGAAGGTCTGAGTCGGTGCCCTTACCTGGCTTTGAACTTAACGACCTTCCGTTTGTGAGTCAGGTGCCAGAACCATATTGGCTGCTCAGTTAAGTGAGTCTTTGGCGATACATAATTACACACGTATAGACACAAGCAACGGTGGAGTGCTATCTTTTGAAAGAAGCTAAAACCCACGCGCCATTTCCGCTCCTCTGCGGGCATGTTGCCGCGCGGACGCGTCGTCGTGATCACGTGCAAGCCAGGCTCAACTGGAACGGGGCTGAGTCGCAATTCTCTGCCGACCTTTAATTGCGAGGCTTTGGGCTCGCTGGGTGGGTTTTGGCTTTCCGGGATGGTCGGTCCGCATAATGGAGAATCAGGGTGAGGGGGAGGGAAATCGAAAAGCAATTACGATACATTATCGCACTGTCAGGTAGGATTAACGGGAATAAGGCATTGGCCACTGTCACCGACGTGGGTCTGAGGCGTTGGAGGAAAATGTGCCTTCGTCGTCGAGAAAGACGTGGCCCCGGGGCCTTGCGTGGGGGGTGGGCGGGGGGTTACGGAGGAGGATTCACCGGTTTATTATTTATCTCAAGAGTGGAGCATCACGGGGCAATTAATGTGAGAGACCAGTGCCTTGGGCCGGTGCCGTGGTGTGGAGGATAATGTCCCCCACTCCTCCCCTTGCCACTGACTGGCAGGCTCCAGGATGACAGGTGACGGCACGCAGTGTTCCGGCAAAGAGTGACCGGCATTAACCGACTTGCCGTGTTTACCAACCGTGGCAGGGCATGTAATTCGTGACAGTTTACATTATTATCTGAGGCGGGCCTCGGAGGTAACTATAGCTTCATGACTAATATTTTGATTACCTTTAGTGGTTGCGATGAAATGTGACGAGCGTGAGTGTGAATAAGAAACATTTTGCGATGGCAAATGTTTGCCTTGTAATTTATCACGAGGAATATTTTCGTCGGACGTTTCGCAATTGCTTTATGAAGTCTCACTAATAATGTAGTTAATGTGTGGTTACAATTAGGATTGTGGTTAGCACTAGATTTAGGGTTAAGGTTTGGGCTAGACCAAATAGTTAGTGTTTCGCTGCTCAAATGAGCATTTTGGGGCCCTGAGCCGGAAGTGGAAGTTCCACGTTTCAATAATGGGGGCCTTTTTATTTTTAGATCCACCACTGCTTACTTCCCACAATGCAGTACATATTTGATCAACTCCAGGAAATTACGATGAAGCAGGAGTTTTTTTTAGGGACAGGCTTGAACATTTGGCAATGATTGATGGCCTCATGAAACAATGGTTGGTGCAACTCAAATGATTCGTAAGCATTTACCATTGAGCGCTGTTGCTTGTGGCATGCTGAACTGTGGGCGGTTGTCCCTGTGAGATGCATTTACCTCGGCTTCTGATTGATCCCGTCACGAGCCTATTTTTTTTTAAAGCCTCAATGCCCGTTAGCTGTCAAAACCCTCAAGCCTCTAATCATTCCCACTTTAGCTAGGCTTAACCTTGCTGCTTCAGCAAAGCCAATTGCATAGCATTTTGACAGGGCAGGCAGGCAGCCTTAGTTATGATCAGGCTACCCTGGAATTTGATCCATCACATATACAGGTCTACATCGTGTGTGCCTTTTAGCTACACGACCGGGTGGCACTGGGGTAGAACAGCCCAACTAAAAAAAAACATATCGTCGTGAGTTTAACTCCTGGCCGAGGAGTGTGACTCACCCGGGGTGGCTAATCATTGGGTGAGTAATACGACTTCCGATACGCATCGGAATGAGCGGGCACCTACCAAGGGGTACATCGGAAGCAGCTAATTTGGAAGACAATAGCGGCACATAGTAAGCAGCACGAATGCAGCATGCACACGTCGGTCAGAAGCCTTTTTTGCTCTCCTGCCGGCCACCTCACTCCCTGTGAGCCATGGGCCAGGGCAGAAATCGGTAGCAACTAAGGTAGCAAGACTTTAATAGCGCCCATGAAACGCACAATGAGAGTGATTATAACCTCCGTGGTATCGTCGCGGCTCCGAGCCAGTACTTGGTGAATTCGTTGCTTTACTACCACGAGTGTCTTATTTGATGGCCCACTCATTTCAAACGGTTATCACACAGTTCACGGTTATTGGGCACACAGTAGAAATGAGAACGACTAAAGTTGACGGCTTCTCTTAGGCGCTGCCAGCAAGTGAGATATGTGGTCTGGGACCCTCTTTCCTCAAAAGCAGATTACAACTCTGCACTTATAGGTCATATGATGTGGCGTCTGTAACGTATATATTAAAAACATATCTTTGCTTTGTTAAAGTGGAGGGTTGTTCTTATCTGTCTGTACATAACCGGTAACCGCATGAAAAATTGGTAGAAACCAGATACGGGATTGCTGCATGCATAGAAACGTCCCCAGCAATAAACACTCCGCGTTTACCTTTGAGCTACGAAACAAAGGGCAGGTGATGTACCACGCCGTGGCTTAGTCTCCGCCGTGCCAGTCACGCGAACGCGCTCACCAATGGGCACCCTCGTTGCTCGCATTCCGCTTTAAACGATGGCCATTTCCTGACTTTTTAAACTGGTAACCGATTCCATAAATGGTTACCGGCTTCCAGGTTTGCCGTTTAACAAGAAGCCCGGCGAAGATCCCACCGCGTCGTTTTGTCGCAGCGTCACTCATCGCCGTGCCGAGCTAGCGCCGCACAGGCCAGCCGGCAGCGTGGGTGCGGCCTGACTGGCCCTGTCCCCGGCTCCCGACCGGGGGTTCTATTGAGACTTCTCCGCCGCGCCGACATGGTTCACCGTCGCGCGGTGAACGGCACGAGCACGACGTGCTCCCGGTTGTGATGCGTCACCAATATTGGCCGTGCAGTTTTAGTGCGGCGGGTTACCTTGCCTTGTAGCAAGAGCCAGGGCGATATATATGTACGGTTGAGCGCAGGGTAAATAAACAAAAGATAAAACTTAAAAGAGCGGAAGCTGGAAGAAATAACAGACTATTATAGCGCCGTAGTGCTTGATGTTATTAAAACCTTTAGCATTGCATAGTCACTATGAAAATAAAGGTCAATATTTAAACTTCAAAGAGTATTTGTGGCTTTCTATTTTAATGCTGCGCATGCTCTGGGAATTACTTATTAAACGTTACCCCGAGGCGTTAAATACAGAGGGTGCCTTCGCCTTGTTCTGTTTAAGTAGCGGCGCGCACGTGCCTCGGCTGGGTTTGCTGGCAAGGTAGAATCCTCAACTGATTCCACAGAGGGACACTGCGCGCTACCTACCTAGGCACACAACAAAGACAAAGATCCCCCGTATAGCCTTAACAGACTGTTGGGGCAAGTGCTGTTGGCAAGCACCTATGAAGGCCAGAATGGCACAGCACCACGCCCAGCCGCCTTTGTCTCCCCAGTGGCGATGTTTTTACGCATCGCACCAGGTACTCATTTGAGGCCGAGTCGACCTCGGCACGCACGCACGCACGAGTGTGTACTTTCCCAGCTTTCTCACCGCAAAGAGAAAAGCGCCGCGTCGCCGCGCTCGGACAAAGCGTGCCTGGCAGCTCGTTTACGTTTCTTCGCTTTTTTTTTTAGCCAGAGGCGGAAATTCGCCGGTTCCCATCGCGGAGGCGCTCACGGCACAAGACGACCAATGGTTGCCTTACTTCATTAGCCCCACCCGCCCAGAATACCATACAGATGCACCGTTTTCCCAGGCTCACATTCGTTCTCCGCCTTGCGTGCTACTGCCGCGTACCAAGTGCTTCATGGGACACGTCTTCTGAAGTGAGGGAGGGTCGCGTGCATTGGAATTGTATAAATTCGTGTGAGCGAGATGCTTTTGGCGTGACCTAAAAAAGCGAGTGATTATCGGGTGTGATCACAAACACGATGTAAGCCCCTTTATCGCAAAACTTGTTGTTGCATTTATTGCTGGGGCATGGAGTGAGCATGTTTGAAGAGAAACACAGAAGCGGTGTAAGAACACAAACTGAAAGGCTTTTCATTTTAGCTTCACTGTTCTGAAGCCAAAAGGCCCTTTAATTTAGCTCATGTGCTTGGCCATCATTATCCCCTTACCAGAGGGCATTCATAGCAATCTGGGGCTTGATGAGAACACATTTTAGATGTGCGGTTACTTTCTGTTTCTCGATGTGTTTTTTTAGCGTAACGCTTGGTGAATATGGCCAAGTGGTGCTGAACTCGGATCGTGTGGCTCGCAACCGATCGGTCGATCACCGTCGCCGCGGTGCACGCTACAGTGACTCTCGCTTCAGGAGAAGTCGAAATTAGTACGACAGTGACTAGCACCCACCATATTAATGTGGAATTTCCACTGCTGGCGCATCATGGCATCACACTGCAGCAATCACGGGGCTGAACCTCTGCTTGCAGGCCAGCGCAGCGACCTGGACTCCGTATCTGTGGCTTACATGAACGAGTGCTGCAGGCTCACCCGACCTCGATTGCCAGCGCATCGTGGGGCCCCGCACGTCGGTGTTGCTGCCGGCAG